TGCAGTTGAACTGACTGCAATGGTGTGAATTAGGCACAAGAAAGTCCATAGGAAAGCATTGTGATGTATTTTGACTGCAGCAGTCAAAATAAACGGACTGTATCACAACTGCATATGGTTCACAACATTTTCTGGTCCAGATCTGGAGCAGATCTGCAGATGCTGAGCAATGTGTGCAGCACGTTTTTTGATGTGTATTTGATGCATTTTTACCGCATTCCCTTTTTTATTTTATTTTTTCCAGTTAGCTGCAGTGCGGTGCATTTCTGGCACATTTTTGTTGCGTCTTGAGGTGTTTGTGCGCTTTCCGGACCAGAGAAAATGTGACATGCAGTATCTTTCTTTGTCCGGAATAGAAAGCACTGCGCTCGTGTGATCTGGGGCCCATAAAACACACAGGGATACATTGTGATGCGTTTTTAGTGCAGGAGCGAACTGCTCTGGTCTGGACAGAATCCGGACATCGTGTGAACAAGCCCTCTTTCATGAGTTTCTTTGTGATCATACTCACAGAAAAGGAAGATTCATTCCGTCTCTGCCCCGCAAAGTGTCTGCTTGAGGGTGACAGAACTTCCTCTCGCCATTTCATGCATCTGACAATGCAAGTCAGGAACTGCTTGCTTTTAATCTCTTATGGGAATGGCCAGCTTGCCTCACCCGTTTGGCCACTGCCCGTTGGATAAGGGCTCAACATAAAAGTATATGACTGTCAGAAAAATAAAATGCACTCTTTTTTTTTTTTTTTACTGCCCTTACCTCGTCTCCACAGACCGGTGTGGTGAGGGGCAATCATCCATGATATCCCGTTCTTTAAGGGATCTCCAGGGGGAATCCAAAGGGGGATAAACCAACAGAAAAAATTCTAGCTTCAATTCCCTGGAAATGGCTTGCAAATTCAAATTTGGATCCGAATCTCTGGTGACGTCACGCACGACGGAACTTCCGCGCATGCGCAGATGCCAGCTGAAGCCGCTACTGCCCATCCTGTCTCGCCCACACATCACAAACAGACAAGACCGCGGGGAGCCGGCCGAGGTGAAAAGGACATCATACAGCACAGCAGGTAAGTGAAACCACAACAGTCTTACCCTCCCTGTCTGACAGGCTGCACAGTATATGGAAAATCCGGCTTCCTCTCATGGAAACAAAGTTTGTCCTTCCCCAAGGGGACACCCTTGCACGGGGCCGAGTCTTGGAGACTTCCCAGGGGAGAGAGGCTGAACTCCCCTGAGGCCAATACGAAATCAATCAGTTGGCAAATAAAGAAAAACTTCTCAGTAACATACAAACAACCCTGTCCTAGGGGGACAGGAACAAAAAGACTGGGGAAGTCAGCAGGAGGAGGGGCTTTTATAGAGAGGGTTAGGCCTTGTTTAACCCTTTTGGTTCCTGTCAGCTAAGGGTAATTGGATCTAAACCCATTTGTCAGCGCTGCCATGGATATGGCCAGGAAAAGGACTTTACAGTGAGCACAAAAATTCATTTTCAAATATCACAAAAAACATCATAGATTTGCAACCTAATTCAAATGCAAACTAACCTAACCCATGGCAGCCATTCAGATTTTTGTGTGGATGGTATGGATATTATTTTTGATAGCTGGAATTTATTTTTTGTTTTCACATGTCCTGATTGCTGTTCGTCTTATAATTTGCCTCTAATTTGCTGTCATTTATTTGGTGTTGCAACACAATAACTGAACAGTAGGTGTCACTGTTGGTTTTTCTGTAGAAGATTCAGATTTTATTCTGATGCAAAGCTTCAATAACCCTATGTAGCCTGTCTTGATTCATAAAACCTGTTCAGATTTCAGTCAGTAATGCATTTGACAGATTGAGAACAATCCCTCCTCCATAGTGTGTGCAAAAAAATCTGCTCACTTACCTGCTGAAATAACCATTTAAAGCTGTTATGTGGACCCTAAATGTTATACAGCAGTGAAATGTAATATTATACAATGATTGGCATTTGTTTTTTTTTGCTCTCTGTGTTCGTGTGAGCTGATTTTATCAATTGATATCAATGAAAACTTTTTTTATTGTGATATGAAATGAATAGTTATTATTTATCAATTCAAAATGCACACACTGAAAAAAATAAATAAAACAGTACTTGGTGTGTCCACCCTTTTGCCTTTTAAAACAGCATCAATTATCCTAGGTGCACTTGCACACAGGTTTCTTTTTTGTTGTTGTTGCTGTTTGCATTTTTTTTGTTGTGTGTTGTTTTTTTTGGGTTTTTTTTAGGCATTTTTCTAGTGGGGAGAGGGACAGAGCACAGTTACCACCACCCCCTTGTGTAGTGAGCACACTTGTCAGGCACACCTTTGTCCATGGTCTGTGTAATAGAGTTAGAAGCTGAGCTTTGCTCTGACACCCCAGCCTCTCCCTAGACAGGTGTGAGCAATACAGGCAGAGCTCTACTAAGAGCATGTGTTTAACGAACATGCCCACTGCCCCTGCATCCTCAGTGATGGCTCTTGTCTTGGGAAAGTGTATGGAGCAGAAGACGAGACAATCATGACTGATGATGATGATTTACTTATTTGTCTCTTTTATTACAGTGTGGTCGGAAACTGGTAGGGGTGGGGAGCACTATCAAGTTCTGAATCTCTGCTTCTACTGCACCTAGAAAGATGGGACCAAGTTTTATATGCACTTTGTACCCTGGTAGACAAGAGCATGACCATGAGATTTCTCCTTTTAAGGACTTATGCGCATGGGGATATGATTTTTACATAGGATCTTGTCCATACTGTAACGTTGGTGCTAACGAATACATGTGTACCCTATTGGTTGCTAGGACACAGGTTGCTCTTGTCATCTAGTGTCCTTGGTTGTTAGGACAAAGATGGCTTACGTTGATATTAACATGTTGACCCTGAGCAGCAGCAGGGTCTAATAGAGTACATTTGCGTTGTACACATATGAACTTTAGCACAAACATTTGCAGGCATACGGTGTAAAAAACCGTCAATACGCAGTATTGAGGGCAGGTTTTTCCAGACTGTGGACCTTTTGCGCAGCTTTGTATATGGGCCCATCTGAATGCAGAGTATTGTACACGCATGTACACAAGACCTAACTGTGTGGTAGTTTACAAGAGAATTGATGCTGTTTTAAAGGTAATTTTTGATTTGAAGGTTGTTAAATAATACATCAAATTAATTTCATTGTTTTTGAAAACATTCTCCCTCTACAGCATTTTTTCTCTACAAATTTGAACATTACAGTGTATTCCGTTTCGTTGATGAAAGGTTTTTCTTTAACAAGACCCTTTTCCTGTTTTTTTTCCATGTCCTCTTTTTAGATTAATCCAGTGTTTGAAGTAGCAGATACACAAACCTTCCATCCTGCAATTATCGATGTAAAGAACAAATCCTCTTCCAAACAGCAGGTACTGAAAATTGTTACATGATGTCAATCTATATTAATGCTTGATTGAGTTAGATTTTTTTGTTTTGTTTGTTTTTTTGTAAAATAATGACCAGAGAAGTATAGATCATTTTACCCTTGGAGTTTTGTATCATTATAATGAGATGGGAATTTTGTTAAAAAAGATAACTAGTTTGTAATTACTTTTTGTAACAACATGGGGAAAGAAAACAGCATAACGTATAAAATTGCTCCCAAACCTTTTTTAATTTTAAACAAAATTGTTTATTTTTCAAAAATAGTTAAAGGAGAACTATGAGGTGAGTGCTTTTCACTCACCTCATAGTTCTAGCCTGTGACAATGAAACTGTCACAGGTCGGCTCAATAGATTGGGAAGTGAGCGAACACATACCGGCGTTCGCTCACTTCTCAATCCTGTCACGGCAGAGAGCCTTGGCAGGGGAGGGATTGGATTCCCCCGCTCCAATCCTCCAGCGCTGACTGGCGGAGCGGACGGGGTTGTCGGCGGGTATAACTGGCTCTGCCTCTAGATAGGCAGAGCCAGCTGTCACTCACGCAGCTGGGCGGATCCAGACATAATTGTCGGGATACGTTTCAGCTGCGGTGTCTCAGTATACCGCGAGCTGTAGCTCACGGTATACTGAGCTTAGGGTGACGGGAGGACGCTAGTTTGTGTCCTCCCGTTACCCTTAGGAGAACTATGGGGAAAAGTCCTAACCCCATAGTTCTCCTTTAATGTTATTGGCTTGGCATAATTTAGGGCCCATTTTGGCCCCTTTCACACTGGCTGATCAGGAGGAGATCCGTCAGCAGATCCTCTCCTGATCAGAGCGGCACAGATCTTGCAATGGAGGAAAAAACTGAAAGTGCCGGACCCCATGCAAGTCTATGGCCCCTTTTCACATGAGTGTCATCAGTTCAGTCAAGGTTCACAGATGCAAAAAAAAAATGATAACAACTGAATCAGTTTGCACATCTGTTGTCAGTTCAGTTTACATCAGTATTTTTGTTATTATAATATGGTAAATTCTCATGATTCTTTGCTTTCCCCATCATGCATTGAGCTTGACGTGCTGTATTACGACATCGCAACGGCAGCTGAGACCCCCAATGTGTCGCTGCACCAAATCAGTCAAGCAAAACAAATGGCAAACACACTCACCAGCTTTACAGCCAGGTGCAGATGGAGTGGGCTTTAAACAATACAAAAGCAAAATGTTTCCCTGCACACTCACCAGCCAGCATGCCAAAAAACTTGTCTAACCGCTAAGGTTAAAAACAGAGGTTTTAGACAGAGGTTAAAGGGGGTTGGGCTGCCTCCTGACAAACCTGCACCCAATTTTATCTTTTGCTACATGTACTCCAAGATAGACACTCTCATAGGTTAGAGTTAGGACCGCACTACATAGAGGTGCCTTGATGAGGCAGTGCGGCTTTCACATTTTCTGCAGAAGACGTGACTTGTCTAGAGGTTAGACAAGTTTTTTTGCATGCTGGCTAGTGAGTGTACTAGGAAACTTTTTGCTGTGGTATTACGACATTGGTCCCAAAAAAAATGAACTGATGTAAACTGATCATCAGTTTACTTCATGTTACATCAGTCCCGTTCAGTTAAAACGGAGAGCTGATCCGTCTCAAATTGCGGACCTCAACTGACACTGAAGTTTCCTGATGTCAACTGATGGTCATCAGTTTTTATCCACACTGCTATAGAGATGCCTTGTTGTCTGTTTTTCAACCTGACAACCTGTACGTTTGTGTGTAAGTGGCCTATGGGTAATCTGATGTTACAGACCGTTTACATCAGATTACTTCTGGTCCGTTGAAACGGATCAATGATCTGTCTGTTTTACCAGACTGAGCCGGAGCTAACCGGGTGTAAACGGACCATTTAAACCCGGCTGCCAATAGACTTCAATGGAGCGTCCAATCGGGTCCGGCTGAAAAACTGACAGGCGGACCTTCAGCATTGCTTTGATGCAGTGCATGACAATGCATGGTAGTTTTTTCCAGGGGTTGTTGAATGAAATGGAACTGCAGCCTGCTAACACATGTAACTTTTGTAGCGGAAGCATGCTCATTAACATATATGTTACTGCAATGCACCTCGAAGGCAAAGTGTAAATGAGTCCTTAACGTTCTAAAAACACAATCTGCAGCCTTCTGTTATTTTCATAAACAGCCAGAACTCAAACGTTACTTCTGTGCCCCAGTGGTAACTGTCCTAATGGTGCTGGGGCTGCTGACGTCACATCCAAGATGGTGGTATGCAACAGCAGTCTCAGGGCTTTGGACTACACAAGGGGGGTTTTAAAAGGTAAATAGCTGCATGCCTTAACACAATTAATACAGATATAATCTAATGGGATTTTGCTGTTGAAATGAATTGGTCTGGCATCTGGTCAGGTCTCTTTAAATCACAAGGTTGTTTGTTCAAAGTACAGTTACAAATCCTTTAGCAGCTAAAAGAGGTAATCTGTTTATATTTTATGTGCGTATTTAGAAGCGTGTATGATCAGTAATGTGAGAAGCCATAGTTGAGGATCATTGAAATGTACTTTACCAATGCGAGTTGATGCATTCATGTCATTCTCATGAGATTGATGGTTACAGTTGCTGGTCTAGCAGCAAGTAGAAGACCAGAATTTCCCATAAAAGAATCTGGGAAGCGTTCTTATCTTAATCGACACTGTATTATGATGCCATGCCAACAGTAAAGTTCAAAATAGACAGCGATTGCACATCTATCAATACTCTTTCCATTCAATGGCTGCTACCTTGTTGGCATGAACATATTCTTAACATGTTCATACAGGGGTGTGGAATTCCTGACGCTCGGGAAAGGAAGTTCCAGGCGCCAGGTGAGTAGATTTTTTTTTTAACATTTAGCCCAGCTTAGGGCAAGCAGGGCTAAATGTACAGCGGGGAGCCGATCCATGTTTTATACAAGTTATCTGATCAGATCATTTGTTCCAGCCAGCCTGCCTGTCTCCCTCGCTATCTGATGTGGTTTTCGGGGTCCCCCGTTCTCTTCTGGGGGACCCGGGACCACGGCAAGTTAACTCAGAATTGAGAGTGGGGAGCAGAGTGAACGTCCGTTCTTCACTCTGCTCTTTGATCAGTGAGACCGGAGTGCAATAATCACAACACCCTCAAAAAACTACACATTATACAACCTTGGTTGTGCAGGGTTTTTTTTGAGGGTACTCCATATAGTTATAATTCGTACAATTTTGTTGATGTTCATATAAAAGATTTATTGCATAATTATAAAATATTAAAAACAATGCTCATATATATATATATATATATATACACATGATACTTATAACCCTAAAATTATTACTTCTTTTCACATTTCATAATATTTTATATATAATTCATATTTCACTATGTATATTCATAATTCCTTGATTTTCATATGCAGTGTTGTATTGCTTTGTTAGTCCCCTACGCGTTACGCTCGTAGGCTTCTTCAGGGGGATCGGTATAAATCTATTTGTAAATACATGATACATTGTTCATCAACATGTTTATATGCCATTTCATAATACATTTGTAAAATCATATTTTCCAATTTTAAATGTTTCCATTCAGCTATATACATTTATTCTTAGTATGATTGAATTGTACAGCCACTTACCTAGGGGTCAAGTATCATGGAGGGACCTAATGCCAGGGGGACAGGAGCAACTCTCATCACCCCCAGAAAGAAACATACCTAATTTTATTCCCATCACACAGGGGCTTACAAGCCACTATGTGATAGTTTGGAGGCAACGGATTCTGTTTATGGAACCTGCCCTCCAACACAGAAAAGATCTTCTGTGCAGTTCCTGACAGCTGAGACAGGTGGTGTTGTGATTATCATTCCAAAACAGGCACTTCCCAAAGTACTCCCCCAGGTGATTAGAGGCCTCACCCCAAACTCAGTCAAAAAACTACACATTCTACAACCTTGGTTGTGCAGGGTTTTTTTTGAGGGTACTCATATAGTTAGTTATAATTCGTACAATTTTGTTGATGTTCATATAAATTGTACGAATTATAACTAACTATATGAGTACCCTCAAAAAAAACCCTGCACAACCAAGGTTGTATAATGTGTAGTTTTTTGACTGAGTTTGGGGTGAGGCCTCTAATCACCTGGGGGAGTACTTTGGGAAGTGCCTGTTTTGGAATGATAATCACAACACCACCTGTCTCAGCTGTCAGGAACTGCACAGAAGATCTTTTCTGTGTTGGAGGGCAGGTTCCATAAACAGAATCCGTTGCCTCCAAACTATCACATAGTGGCTTGTAAGCCCCTGTGTGATGGGAATAAAATTAGGTGGAACATTTTTTTTTTTTTTTAAATAAAGTGATAAAAAAGTAAACATTAAATTAAAACCAACCCCGCTGCCCCCGCCATCCGCATGCAAATAAACGCAGGAGTAGGACATTGTGTGTGTGTGCTTTGAGTGCTGCCGCCATTCCACTGTGTGCCATATTGTGGTAGCCGGGCAGCAGAACTCTTACACGTACCATGTACATTAAAGGATAAGTTCACTTTCCCAGGTAATTTGTGAAAATGGAATTACACGATCAAATCTGGCTCCGTCTCTCTCCCCACCTCGCTATACTTGCCTTTCGGCGAACAGTCCTTTCCCTCTGCCAGTACGGGTGTACAATCTGTACACACACAGTCCTGTGATATGCATTTTGAATTTCGCTCGCAAATTGCAAGTGCTCGTTGGTCAGTGACCACGCTGACCAATGAGAAGCGCTTCTTAGCACAGTTAAATACGGTTTTGAGTAAAACTAGTTTTTTGTATTGGGACAAGTAGATGCGTGCACACTTCACCACTGGGACTACACAAACGCATATGTTTTCTCTGTCTGCCACACGCACAGGCTGTATAGAATAGCAGGGCACTTGAGATCCGCCCACCTGTCTATCAGTGACTGTGTGGCCCGTCATTGAATCAGAACTCAATGAATGTGCATTAAAATACTCATGG